TCATACTCTACATCAACCATGGAAGGAGGAACCCATCAATACTTCACTTAACTAAGATGATAAGGAAGGTGATCAATCTTCTTCCCTCTTAGTACCAGTTTAATATAATGGTGTACAATGCATCATTCAGCACACTCATGATACACATGCCTATATAAACATCTCAAAACAACAATGCCTCATCTCATACTGCAAAATCACTTCTATGTCCAAACAACAAATCAAAACCACATAAATATACAATATGCACAGAGGTAAGTACATTTCAAATCCACATTTTCACAATCCAATCCAAATCCATATAAACAACATATACATACATACATGCATACCTGCATATATATATATATATATATATATAAAGTATATCTACCAAATAGCTCGATATCTCTATGGCGTTACAACTCTCCCCAACAACAAAAATTTTCGTCCCCGAAAATTCACTTACTCAAAAAGAGATATGGGTATTGATCCTTTATCCTATCTTCCAACTCCTAAGTAGCTTCATTAGTAACCTCATCCCAAATAACCTTCGCCAAATTGATAGATTTACCCCCTAACTGTTTAACTTTCTTATCCACTACTAAAACTGATTGTTTCTCAAAAGTTAAATTATCTTTAACTTGCACTACCTCTGATTCCAAAACATGACTCGGATCATGAATATACTTCCTTAGTTGTGAAACATGGAACACATCATGTAAATTAGATAGGAATGGAGGTAATGCAATCTGATATGCCACTGATCCAATCCTCTTGAGAATCTGATACGACCCAATAAACTTAGGATTCAACTTCTTAGCTTTGATAGCCCTACCCACACCTCTAGTAGGAGTCACCTTCAAAAACACATGCTCTCCCTCTAAAAACTCCAAAGGTTTTCTCCTCTTGTCTACATAAGACTTCTGCCTACTCTCAGCTGCTTTCATTCTTTCCCGAATTTGTTTCACTTTTTTTGTAGTCTGTAGGATCTGACCCCACCATCATTGATTCTCCCTCTTTAAACCAACAAAGAGGTGTTCGACACTTCCTCCCATAAAGAGCCTCAAATGGTGCCATCCCTATACTTGCATGAAAACTGTTATTATAATTGAACTCGACCAAAGGCAACATTTCTTCCCAACTTGATGGAATAACACTAAGGCCAAGAAGTCCAAGAGGTGATGTATTGAAGGAAGCAAAAGGAATGGGTTAGTGTTGGAAAAAAACCATAGGAGGAGTGAGGCCACTTTTGGACCTTAGCTCCTAAGTTCTTATTAGCATAGCATTTATTTTTATTCCTATTTTTTCCCTTATCTTTGATTCCAAAATTACCCTTGTACTTTGGGGTATTTTAGTCATAGAATTTATTTTACTTGTATTTCCAATTTTACCCTTGTATTTTGGGGTGTTTAGGACTTAGAATTTATTTTCCCTTGTATTTCCCATTTTACCCTTGTATTATGGGGTGCTCTAGATGATTAGGGTTTTTAATTTTGGGCTAGGGTGTTAATTAGAGGGTGACACATATTTTTGGTGCCTATTGGGTCTATTTTTGGTGTTAGAAAGGCTTAGGCCCAAGTGGAGGGCAAAGGTTGCATGGTCTTATCATGCACCTAGATATAGCCAATCTAAACCCAAAGATTCCAAGTTGCATCTAGGGTTCATTTGCATTTCATTTGGAATGCATTTGCCTACTCCAAATGCAACCCTAGATGCCTCCCCTCCTATAAATACCCAATGCACCACACCTTGTAAATACTTTGGATATTGAATATAAAGAGAGCCTTTTGTGCCTTTATATCTTTCCTTAGTCACCCTTGGCTAATTCGGCCACCTCCCTCCCATCTCCACCTTGAGAGAAACAACCCTAGAAGTGGCCTTCATCATCATGAAGTGAGCCAACCCTAGAGTACCCTTCTCAAGCATTTCCTCAAACACCTTCTACCCAACCTCCATTTTCATCCATTCTATCATCATCCACCCTAAAACCTTGTGCCACCTTTGAAGAACTTGATCCTTGGAGTGAGGCATCATCTTCCTTGTCCATCATCTCATGTCCATGCAAGTGAGGATGCCATCACAACTCCCCAAATGATCCAAAATACAAGCCCTTAACAAGTCCTCCAATGATTGGATAGTCCTCTCAGACTGCCTATTAGTCTGTGGGTGATAAACAGAACTGAGACTCAACTTAAACCCTAACGTCTGGTGAAAACTCTGCCAAAATCGAGATATAAAACGAGGATCCCTATCAGAAATGATACTGGAAGGCACACCATGTAATCTAACTATCTCCTTGATATACAACTGAGTTAACTTTTCCAGGGACCATTTTACATTCACTGGAAGAAAATGAGCACACTTAGTTAATCTATCCACGATCACCCAAATAGAATCACAATTCTTAGCAGACCTTGGCAAGCCAACAAAAAAATCCATAGCGATATTATCCTATTTTCATTCTGGCACTTCCATCATCTTTAACAAACCTCTTGGTTTTTGATGTTCTACCTTAGCTTTCTGACACACCATGCAAGATGCAACATACTCGGCTACCTCCTTTTTCATACTATTCCACCGAAACACTTTCTTCAAATCTTGATACATCTTTGTCATACCCGGATGTACACTCAACTTGCTCTTATGACCTTCTTCAAGTATCAACTTCTTCAACTCCTCATCTTATGGAATACAAATTCTACCCTTGTACCTCAGAACCCCATCCATACCTTCTTCAAATCCTTTAACTTTCTAAGAACCCAACAACTCTCTAATCTTATTGAAACCAACATCATGAACTTGTTTTTGTTTCACCATCTCCAAGAAATCACTAGTAATGGTAGTCATACCACAACTAATAAAATATGGATCAACCAAAATGCTAAGACTCATATCCCTGAATTTCTCTACCAACTCCACCTCTTTAACAATCATGTAAGACATATGAAGAGATTTTCTGCTCAAAGCATCTGCCACCACATTCGCTTTACCTGGATAATAAGCTGAAAATCATAATCCTTTAGAAACTCAATCCACCTCTTTTGCCTCGTATTTAACTCTTTCTGATCAAACAAATATTTTATACTCTTATGATCACTAAACACATCAAACTTTACTCCATAGAGATAATTCCTCCAAATCTTCATAGCAATAACCACCACAGCCAACTCCAGATCATGCGTAGGATAATTTCATTCATGAGTCTTCAACTGCCTAGATGCGTAGGCCACAACTCGCCTATCTTGCATAAGAAAACATTCTAAACCTTGATGAGATGCATCACAATAAACCTCAAAAGATTTATTGGGATCCGACAGAATCAACACAGGATGATCCTTCCTGGTTAACTATGTCAAAGGCATAACTATTTTAGAAAACCCTTCTATGAATCTCCTATAATAGCTAGCCAATCAAACAAAACATCTAACTTTAGTAAGTGATTTCGAATGCTCCCACCTCAAAACTGCTTCCACCTTAGTAGGATCAACTGCAATTCCTTGTGCAGAAATCACATGACCCAAGAACTTAACTTCAAATAGACAAAACTCACATTTTGAAAACTTTGCAAATAATTTTTCCTCCTTCAATACCTGTAAAACTATCCTCAAATGTTCTCTATGTTCTTCCA